CTTGCATTCCCTTCCATTTCCCTTTCTCATTTCCTCTCTTATTTCCTTTTCTCATTTCCTCTCATCCCTTCCCTCTCTCCCCTTCCCTTTCAGGGGATCCAGGGGAAGGGCCCTGTGGGAGGGGGGGGTCTTGGGTTCCCTGGAAGCCCCTGTGGTCGTTCCTGCGTCTGGGGTGGAGTTGGTGCCTCTTCCATTCCCTCTCTCCAACGTACCTGCTACAAAGACCACCTATCTCCCCCCCCCAACCCCCACCCCAGGAAACGCTTGGGTCCCGGTCGGGATGGTCGCCTTCGCTGGCCTTTGCCGGAGCACCATCAGGACGGAGGAGGAGGAGGAGGAGCCTCTATAGGGGGTCAGTCCCTCGGGTTCTATCGGAGCTCTTTTTCTTTACCTTTTCTTTTTCTCTTTTTTTTTCTTTTTTTCTTTTCTTCTTTTCTTTTTCTCTTTTTCTTTTTTCTGTTCTTTTCCCTTTTTCCTTTTCTTTTCTTCTTTTCTTTTTTTTTTCTTTTTTTCTTTTTTTCTTTTCTTCTTTTTTTCTTTTCTTTTTTTCTTTCTTTTTCTTTTTTCTTTTCTTTTTTTTTCTTTTTTTTTCTTTTTTCTTTTCTTTTTTCTTTTCTTCTTTTCTTTTCTTTCGTAATCGGAGTGATGAAACGGCAAACCAACAGCCAAAACGGCAAAGGCAATTATTCCCGGAAATAAACCCAAAATCAAAGCCAAAAACTCAATCCCGGAAATAATCGATAAACGGAGATTTTGTCCGTCTGGCCTTTGCCTAAATGAATAAATATATAAATAAATAATAAATAAAAATAAATAATAATAAATAATAAATACATAAATAATAAATAAATGATAAATAATAAATAAATAAATAATTTTAAAAATAATAGATAAACAGAGATTTCATTCTAAATAAATATATAAATAATAGATAATAAATAAATAAATAATTAAATAAATAATCAATAAATAGAGATTTTGTCCAAATAAATAAATAAATAAATAATTAAATAAATAAATAAATAAATAATTAAATAAATAATAGATAAATGAAGAATTTGTTCTAAGTAAATAAATAAATAATAGATAATACAAAATAAATAATAGATAATACAAAATAAATACTAAATAAATAATAAATAAATAATAGATAAATGAAGAATCTGTTCGTCTTGGGGCTGTTGGCCTTTGCCTGAGCGCCTGAGGAAGGGCTTCCGGGCCGTCGCTTCGCCTTCTGTTTCTCGGCTTTATTTCTCTTTCTCTTTGGGTTCCCTTTTCTTTATCGAGTTTCTTTTAGTTCCTCTTTTTCATTTCCTCTTTCCCTTTTCCCTTTCTCTTTTATATCATTTTCTATCTTTTTTATCTTTTATTTTCTTTTTATCTTTTCATTTATCTTTTTTATCTCTTATTTTCTCTCTCCTTCATCTTTTATTTCCTTCTTTCCCTCTTCCCCTTATTTATCATTATCTTTATTGCCATTCTTCCTCTTTCTCACTTTCTCTTTTCCTCCTTTCTGCCTCCTCCGTTTATTCCACTTGCTCTTATCTCCCGTTTATCTGTTCTTCCACTTCCTTCCTTCGCTTTTTATCTGTTATTCCACTTCCTTCCTTCGCTTTTTATCTGTTCTTCCACTTCCTTCCTTCGCTTTTTATCTGTTCTTCCACTTCCTTCCTTCACTTTTTATCTGTTGTTCCACTTCCTTCCTTCGCTTTTTATCTGTTCTTCCACTTCCTTCCTTCGCTTTTTATCTGTTATTCCACTTCCTTCCTTCGCTTTTTATCTGTTATTCCACTTCCTTCCTTCGCTTTTTATCTGTTGTTCCACTTCCTTCCTTCGCTTTTTATCTGTTCTTCCACTTCCTTCCTTCGCTTTTTATCTGTTCTTCCACTTCCTTCCTTCGCTTTTTATCTGTTCTTCCACTTCCTTCCTTCGCTTTTTATCTGTTCTTCCACTTCCTTCCTTCGCTTTTTATCTGTTATTCCACTTCCTTCCTTCGCTTTTTATCTGTTATCCCACTTCCTTCTTTCGCTTTTCTGTTATCCTACTTCCTCCTCCTTTCGCCTCTTTCTCTCTACCTTCTCTCCTTTCACCTTCCTTCGTTTTCATTATTATCATCACCATCTATTACTATTTATCAATTATTATCATTATCTCTCTTCCTTCTTTCGTATTTCTATAATTATCGTCATTCATCATTATTATCATTATTATTATCATCGTCATTTATTATCATTACCATTATTTATCATTATTATCATCATTATCATCATTATTACCATAATCATCATCATTATTACCATTATTACCATTATTATCACAATTATTACCCTTCTTCTTCTGACTTACGAGAAGCGTTTGTTGTGAAGCAGAAGAGAAAGTCTTCGTTCGCGTAAGAGAATCCGCATTCCGGATTCTCTTGCGCGAACGCCCATTTTCTCTTCCGGATTCTCTTGCGCGAACGCCCATTTTCTCTTCCGGATTCTCTTACGCGAACGCCCATTTTCTCTTCCGGATTCTCTTACGCGAACGCCCATTTTCTCTTCCGGATTCTCTTACGCGAACGCCCATTTTCTCTTCCGGATTCTCTTACGCGAACGCCCATTTTCTCTTCCGGATTCTCTTGCGCGAACGCCCATTTTCTCTTACGGATTCTCTTACGCGAACGCCCATTTTCTCTTACGGATTCTCTTACGCGAACGCCCATTTTCTCTTCCGGATTCTCTTCCGCGAACGCCCATTTTCTCTTCCGGATTCTCTTACGCGAACGCCTATTTTCTCTTCCGGATTCTCTTGCGCGAACGCCCATTTTCTCTTCCGGATTCTCTTGCGCGAACGCCCATTTTCTCTTCCGGATTCTCTTACGCGAACGCCCATTTTCTCTTCCGGATTCTCTTGCGCGAACGGCTTCCCTCTCGATCCGTTCGTCTAAGGAAATAAAAAGATGAAGGAGACATAAGATAAGAGATAAATAGAAAGATGATTAAAATATAAAAGGAAGATCAATCAAAAGATTTAAAAGAAGATAAAAAAATAAAAGAGAAAGGGAAGAGAAGGTGGCCGTTCGCGTAAGTGAATCCGGAGGAAGGAGGAGGATCTTCTTACGCGAACGACCACTTTCTCTTCTGCTTCACAAAAGACGTTTTCATGTCAGTCAGAACAATAATAATGATAATAGTAATAATAATAATAATAATAATAATAATAATAATAAATGATAATAAATATGATGGTAATAAATATCGGCCACTTTCTCTTCCGGATTCACTTACGCGAACGGTATGTTGCTGTTCGCGTAAGTGAATCCGGATCAACGTCGCTCAGGAAGAAACGCTTAAGAGAAAACGGGGATTGTGTGCGTGTGTGTGCGTATGTGTGCGTGTGTGTGCGTATGTGTGCGTATATGTGTGTATGTCTGCGTATGTGTGTGCGTATGCGTGTGTGCCTATGAATATGTTTTTTTTTTACTTCATGTGAATATTTTTGTAAGTATACCCAAATATATACACATGTATGTATATATTTCATAACTATGCATTGAAAGATATATATATATATATATATATATATATATATATATATATATATATATATATGTGTGTGTGTGTACTTATATTTATATATATGTATATGTAATCCGTCTCATGAATCTCATTCAGTCATCTTATGTTTTATTTACTATGTTAACCTGTTGCAGACAGTGGATACGCCCATGCCATACCCACTGTGCATTTAGTAGTAAGACAATAATAGTCTGATAGTCCAATTATATTGTCTGATTGACTGTCTAATTACTGTCTAATTTACTAATAATTACTGTCTAATTACTGTCTAATTACTGTCTAATTTACTAATAATTAGCCTGTCTGATCTGGCCACCTCGCTACACTTTCGGCCCAGAAGCAGGGTGCTAGGCCTGGCTGGTGACTCTCCTGCAGTGTGCCTTTCTTGTAGGTGACTTGTAGGTGACTCTTTCTTTCAGGTGACTCTCCTGCAGTGTGCCTTTCTTGTAGGTGACTCTTTCTTTCAGGTGACTCTCCTGCTGTGTGCCTTTCTTGTAGGTGACTTGTAGGTGACTCTTTCTTTCAGGTGACTCTCCTGCAGTGTGCCTTTCTTGTAGGTGACTCTTTCAGGTGACTCTCCTGCAGTGTGCCTTTCTTGTAGGTGACTCTCCTGCAGTGTGCCTTTCTTGTAGGTGACTTGTAGGCGACTCTTGCTTTCAGGTGACTCTCCTGTAGTGTCATGAGTCCTTTTGCCTTTGCCGTTGTTCCCTCTTTATCTGCGGAAGTATCTTTGGCCTGCCTGTCATTCTCCAGGGCCTTTGTGTCATCCGATTTGCTAAGTAGGGATTTGAACGGACGGTTTTCCTCGCAGATTCCGTATCATTACCTGTCGTGTCCCATCCCTGCCATGACAGTCACGGCAGTCTCTCTCTCTCTCTCTCTCTCTCTCTCTCTCCTCTCTCTCTCTCTCTCTCTCTCTCTCTCTCTCTCTCTCTCTCTCTCTCTCTCTCCTCTCTCTCTCTCTCTCTCTCTCTCTCTCTCTCTCTCCTTCTCTCTCTCTCTCTCTCTCTCACTCTCTCTCTCTCTCTCTCTCCTTCTCTCTCTCTCTCTCTCTCTCTCTCTCTCTCTCTCTCTCTCTCTCTCTCTCTCTCTCTCTCTCTCCTTCTCTCTCCTCTCTCTCTCTCTCTCTCTCTCTCTCTCTCTCTCTCTCTCTCTCTCTCTCTCTCTCTCTCTCTCTCTCTCTCTCTCTCTCCTCTCTCTCTCTCTCTCTCTCTCTCTCTCTCTCTCTCTCTCTCTCTCTCTCTCTCTCTCTCTCTCTCCTTCTCTCTCTCTCTCTCTCTCTCTCCTTCTCTCTCTCTCTCTCCTCTCATATATATATACATATGTAATCACATATGCATACATATGTAAACACATATATATACATATATATATACATATGTAAACACATATATATATATATATACATATGTAAACACATATATATATACTCATATATACATATGTAAACACATATATATATACTCATATATACATGCTGCATATGTTTGTATCAATATACAACATAGTTATGTATGTGTATATATGTGTGTGTGTATAGAGACCTATCTATCTATCAATCTGTAAAAGTCTTTGGGTTGTATATGCATATTATCATAAATACTATATTTTGATATGTGACTATATACACTGTGTTGATATATATGTTTATGTACATATATATGCAATATATATATATATATATATATATATATATATATATATATATATATATATATATATATATATGCACTGTTGATATATATGTTTATATACATATATATGTAATATACATATATGCTCCAAATAAATGCATACTATATATTTTTAAGTATATATATATATATATATATATATATATATATATATATATATATATATATATATATATGTAAATAGATTCCTATCCATCTATCAATCTATAGATATATATTTGGAAAATAGAAAAAAAACAAGGTCTGAACTCAGAAAATTCAACACAGCATTGCAAACCCCAGCCTAAAAAAAAAACTCCTACGGCTGCCGCATGAGTCGAAACCCTTCCTAACCCTCTGCCTTCCAGCCTCCGGGCTAGTACAGTGGTAACGTGTCGGCCTCTCATCCGAGGGGTCGGCGGTTCGCGCCCCGCCCAGGCGCGAGAGGTTGCAATTGTCGCCTGGAAGTCACTGCTGTGCCTGGGCACCACGGCGGGTAAGGACTAAGCTCACCCGAGTCAGTACCTGCTGACACACTGTTAGCGAGTCGACATTAGTCGGCATAGGCCGGGCTCCCTCATAGCCCGGGCGAGGCTCAGCTTCGCATATTGGACTTATCCTTATCTGCCTCCCCTCCCCCCCCCCCCCCCCCCCCCCCCGCCCAAACGCCCTTTCAATCGCCGCGTTTCCCTCGCCGATCGCTGTGTTTTTCCAACTGACCCCGACGTTTCCCTGGCCATTCGCTGTGTTTCTCCAACTGACCCCAATGCGTCCCTAGCTGACTGCCGCGTTTCCCTCGCCGATCTCTGTCCTTCCCTAGCTGGAATGATACTAGTCTTCAACCAGAAACAAAAATCACGAAATAACTAATTTACGTAGAGGACGCGTAGAGCCTTGCTGCCGCATGAAGAGAAAGGTGTAGACTTGGCATGGAATTCGCACTGTTGCCTACACTCTGTTTTAACGGATTTTAAAACGGGTCCATGGTCCTGTGCCAATTCACTCTGTTTTTTTTATTTTATCCCCATAGTTTGTGTGATAAAAATCACACCACTGACTAAACGTCTCAGCTGTTCATCACACTCTGCACGAGTCTGAAAATCACGCCTGTGGAATAAGGCGTGAATGTGTAACAGTAGTGAAAAGTAGCAGTAGTAACAGTAGTGAAAATGCAGTGGAAAAAAGTACTGTTACTACTACTATAAAGAAGTAAAAGTAGTAAAAGTAGTAGTGGTGAAATTATGCGAAAATGTGTATCAGTAGTAGTAACAGCAGTGAAAGTAGTAGTAGTAACAGTAGTGAAAAAAAGTACTGTTACTACTACTACAAAGTAGTTAGAGTAACAGTAGTGAAATTATACGTAAATATTAGTAGCGGTAACAGTAGTAACTCAAGCACCACTTTCCTGAGCACCGTCTGAGTTGCACGGTTTCCTTACGTTGACTTAACTGCCGATAAGTTCACAAAATTTAATGTAATCTATGTGGCTGGAACAATTTCAGTAAAAGAGCACTTCCTCTGGAAAGTTAGGAAAGAATCCAGAAATGCAACTAGTATTATAATTAGTATTATGTATGCATTCATATACATACATACATATATATATATATATATATATATATATATATATATATATATATATATATATATATATATATATATATATATATATATATATATATATATATATATATATATATATATGTATATATATATTTGTATATGTGTATAGATATTTGTATGAATATATGTACATATTTATTTGTGTATATATATATATATATATATATATATATATATATATATATATATATATATATATTCATATGTATATATATATATATATATATATATATATATATATATATATATATATAGAGAGAGAGAGAGAGAGAGAGAGAGAGAGATTTTAAAAAATATATATTTTTGTGTGTGTGTTTATGTATATATATAACCATAGAAGTTCATTTGGATATGTACATATATTTATACATATATTTAAACAAATATATATATATACACATATATTTTTACAAATATATGTACATATATTTAAATATATATATATATATATATATATATATATATATATATATATATATATATATATACACATATATATATATATATATATATATATATATATATATATATATATATATATATATATGCATATAGATAGATAGATAGATAGATAGATAGATAGATATATAGATATAGATATATGTAAATATAAATATACATATAAATATAAATATAGATATAAA